GGCCACATATCCTCCAAAGAGCCAAGGCAACAAACCAAATCTCAATCCACACTAAAGCACATACACACACACAAAACCCCAAAATCAAAGTCATATCCACTTATTTGTCCATCAATTGAAAAATGCAAGAAAGAAGGAAAGAAAATTCATCAAATTTAATATGTGGACAGAGAGAGAGGGGTAGGGGGAGATAAGTTGTGAGGAAGTGATTTTTTGGGTGGACTTAGCTGAACTTTTGAGCCCTGTTTGGTTTGAGCAGATGTAGAATTAGTACACATCACTTTGCATCAGAGAGACATTGAACATAAGCTGCCGCTCAGAGGCCAAATACCTCGCCGTCACACAGACGCATAGGCACACCTTGCCTCGCCTAGTGTCTGTGATTCTGCTTATCAATGTGTTGTCAATTCCCACAGCAACTAATTCTTCTTATTCCACGTTTGGTGTCTCCAAATACCAGTAGCCTGTTACACTAGTTGAAACTACTATAAAACACAATCAGTTTTATACCACTATCAAACTAGGGGAAAAAAACTTAGTCTACCCAAATTGAGTAGCATCTGAATTTTGACTTCTGTTTTTAAATTGAAAATAGTTTTTAAATTGAAAATAGTACATCCCAGTATGTTTAATTGAAACGTGTCAGATTTTCAATCATTTTTAGATTGTATTCCAGACAAAAACAAACCAGTCTTTATATATTAAAAATATTTCATATTGCACAGTGATTTGTTAATAGTGACACTGTAATATAGTCTAGTTATCATAGTATTCTAATATATATGACTTATCTTGTCCTGCTGGTAAAGGTGGCATGTAGTTAAGTGACAGTGACAACTGTATGAACACTGTGCATTCATTGACCAATTATATGTGTAATGGTAAATATATTCTGACAGTGCCAATATTTATCTTAATATTATCACTTTCCCTTGATATAAAATGATGTTGAGGTTATTTATTGAAAGTGTTGTGACATTTGACAGCCCTATTCATAGTGGACCGTCCATGGAAGTGGACATGCACACGGAGAAACTGATTCAACAGCAAGCACCCAGATGAAATTGATGCAAACATGCTGTCATTACACAAGAGAATATTTCTTTTTTGTACTTTGGAGCAGGGGATCCTGTTGCGTGTCAATGAACTGGGCTAAACATGCATGACAAGTGATGGTGTGTGGGTGGAGGGAAGTAAGGAGGAGTCAACCCCATGGTGGTGTCAGCGAAGGATCTGTGTGTAATCTGTAGAAGACGCATGCAATAGACCGCTACACTACTTTATCTACAAGGCCCCTAATTGCGAGGGATGTTGAGGAACACATGTTAGTAAAAGAGGAAAAGGAAGGGGTGTCAGATGTCAGCAATGTGCAGGCATATGGTTCCTACAAGTTGGGTTACGTAAACTGGAAATGACACCAGAAATCAGGTTTGCTAGAATGAACTTGTGGCCTGATGCGAGCACTACGTGATACTGCGGAATACAGTACCTTTTCTTCATTATAGTCATAGTAACAGGTTATTAAAATAGTGGAAAGACTGACAAACTAACTGATTAATCGCTCTGTCTATTGCTAAACCTAACATTATATCACACCACATAAAATCGTGACTAAAATCATGATTGTGACCCTTACATTTAGAAACACTATGATATTAAGACAACATTAAGGAGAAGTGTTGCACCGTCAAACACCAACAGAAACCGTACATGGAACAACATGATGCACCCCAGTCTTTAAAAAAACAGTGCCTACAGTCCAGTCAAAAACAGATTGGAGCAATAGAGACCCCACAGGAAAACGCAATGACCTTTAGAATTCAAATGTGAACCATAAAAGAAAGATAAGTGCCTGGCCATCTTTACTCGTTGAAGAGGAGGCTTTAACAAAGCAAGAACATGACGCGAGGTAACACTGGTGACCCAGCATATTATTCCTGCTTAAAAGGGCTCGCAACCTTCAACTCAGCCATTGTGTGGGGCCATCTCATCAGGAATGCAACACTCTTGCACATACACAAACACACACACAACCCTTCCCCTTTCAATTCAAAGCCCCCCCACACTTCCCCCCTATTCCTTTTATTCCTTCATTATGCACTCGTCCTTCTCTTATGCTCACAGCAAATATGTGCTTTACTTTGTTCACCTTTTTCACTGTGTACCCTCAACATAACCCACTGTCTGCCTTGGACATTTGTGCCAACCAACTTGAGTAAACAGAAAAATGGAGACGGTATGAAGGTATCAAAGGTAAAACACCCCCCCCTCCCACACACATACCCCTACCAAGAAGGGGTTGACCTTGCATGCAAGCGACCACTATCACTTAGTAGATGCTGTGGTTATTGTTCGGAAAAATGGGGCCCATCTGTTTGTTCGTTGCTTGTGCTTTATAGTAAGAAGACATACTGTACCATATGTAGAGCGTACAGTTGAATTAAAGTCATTGCCATTATAAAGCCACCACTTCCCAAAAAGCAAGATTCTCATTTCCATCCTGGCATCATGGTTTGGCTTGAGTTTTATTTTTATTTTAAAATATAAAGAAATGCTATATAATAAAAAACAAAGGACAGATGTGGCAAATATTTTAATGTACTGCACTGCTTGCTAAATTCTAGATTAATTTTATATTTTAGAAATAGTGTATGACAAAGTCATAATTCATTCAATCAAACACAAGAAAGTCATCAACTGCTGTATCACCTCCTCACAGCGTCACATCAGGTTAAAAAATAGCCCAATGTGAAAGTAAATATTCAATCACCTCTCATGTAGTATAAGATTACAGTCGTGTGTGTTCATCACGATGATTAGTTACAGTGTACTGAGAGGGCATGTTTGCCTGTGTGCCCCCTGCTGCATTATAATACGTATACAGTAGCTTTAGTCTGTAGTGTATGAGCACTCGGCTGCCAACACAGTCCCAGCACTCAATCACACGGAGCCTATCGCATTTGCATCTTGTAGCATTGAGTCGGGAGCAGATTGGAGGATCAGCAAATGGGCTGAATAATATTATCTGACAATCAATTATTTCTGCAATTGTGTTACATCAAAAACATGATTTCTGCTGTCGAGTTTGATTTGTCAGGTTGGATTGGAGGTTCAGTCATGTAAATGTGACGTAGGGACTGATTTAACTACTGCACGACGTAGGGACTGATTTAACTACTGCGCGACGTAGGGACTGATTTAACTACTGCGCGCTGAGTGAATGAAAGAGACAGTAATAGTGTCGAGGACCATGCAAATCACCTGCAAAGGAAACGCTGTAAATCACAGTGTGAGAGGTGCACAGAGCGGCAACAAGGAGCAATAACACACACCACATGTACTATTCAAATGTGAATGTCATTATTGTACAAGTCATAAACCATGATCCAAACAGTATTTACCAGGTGATGATACTGTGCATTAAATTATACAAAATTGTTACTTCATTAAAAATAAAGTATTGGCTACTAAAATAACAAAAATAAGACAAGAAAATGTGTTTGAAAGCCTGAAAAAGTGTACATTAAATTATCTGTTTTTTTGCTTCCAACATTATGGTGACAGCATATATCTCAGAGATCTGCATAGGAGCTTTTGACCTAAACACTATCTGCCCAGTCAATTCTGTTATTGTCAATCATGTAATATTATTTAGAGTTTTAATTATCCCTTTTGCAATTCTTTAAAACTATAAATGCTGAATCACCTAGCACAACAGAACGAGTGACACTAAGACCGGCTTTAAATTACAGAATGAAACCAGGGATCGACCTCTCCCTCTTTCTTTCCCTGCTTTGAAAACTGGTGTCTCCAATCTTTTCCACAACCAAATGACTCTTAACTCTGCTGAGTGCAGCATGGGTCAGGCAGCCAGATTGAAGCCAGGGTGTCTGGTTAGTGTTTAAGTCTAACAGGAGATTTCTGATGTCTGATTTCACTCAACAGGCCAGCCGCTACTCTCTGTTTCAGAGGGCCTTGCAGTAATGCCTTGCAGATACGCCAGTGGGGGAACAGTGGGGGAACAGTGGGGGCGTATATATAAATATACAGTTAAGGCTTGATCCAAATTTATTCTCATTTTAAAGGCTGCAGTGTTTCTAATATTTTTGGCCACCAGTTACAAACACCTTTCAGTGTAACGCAATGCAATTGACCACTAACCAAATGACCATTAAGCTGAATCAAGACCTCTCCTAAAGAAAAGGCTTAGCTGCATTTTATGTACTAAACTGTACAGTGAAAATTTAAATCCTTCACAGGCAAAACTACCATTTTTTCAAATGTCAAAAAAGCAAGGCTACAGGTGCTGCTCTATTCAAAAAAGAGAGAACATTTAGAAAAACAGGTACACAACCAACACAATATTTCACCTATTCTTATATATTTACATTTCCAATTAAAAAATATTACTAAATGGATGGCCTTTCTTGTTCTTTTGAAGCATCAGTGGCTTGGTTGTGCTTTTGAGAAGCAAGGCCAGCAGACAAAATCAACTTAGCAAGCAATCTTGTGACTTGCTATTATGTTTAGTTCCAAAGTCAGCTGGTTCAAATCCTTTGATTAACACAGAAACCTGTGTGGGAAAAGTGAGTTAAAGTACTAGTAGTTATATAGCTCGGTATATTATTGCATACTGTGGATAGTGTTTTATTGTTTGCCTTTGCACCTTCAACCTTAAAATGAGAATGCCATTTCTGGATCTTTCCCAGTGCTTTAGGACTGCACACATTGCTGTGTTGTGTATCTGTGTTGGATGAGTCAAAATGTCCACAGTGTGAAAGGTCTACGATATTAATGTAAAAGAAGGGGTGTCACTGTTTCTGTGTGAGTTGTATTGATGACCTTTGTTGACTGTAATTTCTATAATTATATTTTTAGTAATTGTAAAAAGTCATGATTGTCAGTGACTGAAAACAGAGGCCCAAAATGACAATCTTGCCCCCACAGAGTAAAAAGTGGAGAGGCCATGAGCCTGTATCAGAGTTGGTCTGACTGCTCACCTCTGGACTTCTCTTCCTCCTTCCCCAATCCTGGGGTGGTCTTGCAAGTGTAGGTAGGAGTGGCCTCCTCTTCTTGGCTTGGGGTAGTTCCTAGTGGGAAACTGACAGGACGAGAGCTGGTAACTGAGCTGGATGGTCGGGAACTGGCACAGTTCTGTAAGAAATGAGAAGGCAGTGTCGGCAGCAGGAGATCACTGTAGGGTTTTATAACTGTTAAGGAAAATTGGTCAACTTTCCTGTTGACTGATGTGAACAAAAACAAGTGCAAACATACTTTCCTGGTTCATCATTGGTTATACAAATTAGTAAAGCAAATTTTTTCATCAGCCTAATTACAACTTTCTCTTCTATTCTATTTCACTTTACACTCTTCACACTTTTAATAAGTGATCAAAATTAAATTCAAATTATTTTAGCATAAAACTCAATTAATCAAGTAAAATCTACAGTTTATAGTCAATAATGTGTATTGCATAGGAGAATATGTTATGCACGGAAGAAACCTAATCATCAGTTAGAAGGATTAATGTGGCTTTTTACATTTTCACTTTTGTTATTTGCTAAAAGTTTTTACAATACAATAACAACATTTAATTTCCCCAAGAAAGATTAATTTAGTACTTCTTAAAATTATACAGTACAGCACATTAAGCTAACCAAACCTGAGTAGCTGCTCTATGAATTTAACTCAGATACCTTCTTGTTTCACACAGGCATACGCATCTTCCAGCCAGACCAAAATAAATGGCAATCACAGAAAACCCATTCGTTTGCACAGCTCTCAAACAGACTGGAGGCTTCAACAGGCTCTTATATTTCATACTATGCTTCTATCAGACACGAATGCTCCACATGGCAAACGCTCAGGGCCTGCCATTCTGGCGGCTTTTCTGTATTGTTGATGTCCAGCTTCAGCGCAAATGACAAACACATGCAAAGTGGAAAGAGACAAACACCTGCACTGCTACACATCATTTTAACTCACTCCAACCAGGGCTCCCAACAACAGAAATGAACTGCATTTCTTTTAAATTTATTTATCAAACAAGCCTATTCCATTTTCGCTGTACCAGACAAAGACAAAAAAGAAGCATCAACTCTCAACTGTCCACTTGTAAAAATCAAATTCCAGTCCAATTAAATGTTTCTAGCACCAAGACTGATTCCAACCAACACCTCGCTTCCTATACGTTGTCAAAACTTGAATTAAGATCAAAAAAACTAATCCGCTTCCAATTTATATCTATATTTCAGTGGTGTCAGGGGCATGGAGTATTGAGGGGGGGGGGGGTTGTTTTTTATTTGGGTCTTGCAACTGACAGCTTTATTTCACAAAGCAATCTGGCTGTGTGTGTACAAGCGAGAGGTCAGGGTGGGTCAGGAGGTACTTGGTATCAAACAGGCAGGCTACACTGGACAAAGTGTGTGTATGTGTACGCGTGCGTGTGTGTATAAAACCCCCACCCCCGGGGCTAAAAAAAGCTGTGTGTGCGACCCACGCCCGCGTTGAGAGCTACTATAAGGAAGAGGGCTAAAGAGGTCGACGTAAGTGTGCAATTTAAGAGGGCAGAGTGTGTGATTAGGTTTGGTGAAATTTATAGAGGTCATTAAGGTCAGAGGTGGGTCATGTCACTGTACCAAGAGCAATATATAGTTAAATAGTTTCCAGGTCATTTAAATGATTTTCATGTTTTGTGCTAGGTAAAATATTATAGATTTAATCTGATGTGATGTGTACTGTTTACAGTAAATGACGATTTGATGTATCAGCCTGGTGCTTGACCTTCCTTAAAAAAAATCTCTATCATCCTAGAAATGCTAGAATATCTGACATCTGATATCTGAGATGAACTGTTGGGTGACTTTGACCTTAGCAAGGCTTAGTATTGGCTCCTTGTAATGTTGGTGATCAAGGAAAAAAGGGTTAATGAAAGTTTCAAATGACCTTTTTCAATTTAGATAACCACTTTAAATCCTTGAATCAAAGTTGCAGTGAATTGTCCCATTGGTTTAACCCTTCAGTCGTTGCAAATAATACAACATATAAACCCCTCTATCTCCGACAAGTGCCATTCGTCTTCAAATGACCCCATATGCAGTAACAGCGCCAAAGCCTCTTTATCCCTCAGCCGGCAAGGCACGATACCCAATCCTATGTTTTACAACAAGGGGATATATAGGGGCATGTGCGGTCATCTAGAGCCAAATGTCTCCTATCTAACCAAAGGACAGGTAGATACAGTATTTCAAGCAGGATTTATGGCACAAAATAGCATTAGCTAAAAACCGTCAGGCGGCAGTGATGGCTAAAAAACGCATTCTGGTAGCGGAACCCGGCAAGATTGGAAAATTGCCACCACCAGAGGGGAGAGGAAGCAGTAAAAATCACGGTAGAAGGGGGGGGGGTCTCACTGATAACATGAGCAGCAAATATATCAGACTGCACCTGGTGGCAAGGGGCCCCAAGGGCCCCCCCAACCACCCGGCACAGACACATTAAATTTATCTATTTATTTATTTCATTTCTTCCCATCCTTACAGTGTCCACCTCTGAGGTGGGGGGTCAAAAGGAAGTAGGGGCACCCTGGTATTTTAAAAATCAATCTGCCGTCAAAAATGGTTTCATTCCTTCCAAGTGTTTGAGGGTGGGGAATATTGGGGGGTACATATGTCTGGGTCAGGGTGCAGTGGGAGGGGCAGGACAAAATGTTACAGGCCAAAGAGGAGTGGAGTTAATATGATCACTCATAAGGGACAGGAGATTTTGTGTGTGTGTATGTGAGATGGCGAGGGCAAAGGAGTGTGGAATGATGAGAGTGAGTGTTTGTCAAGGTGCTACGGTCTATAATTGTCCGTATGTGTGTGTGTTATGTGCCTGTTTGTGTGTGCTAGAGACTATTAAGTACTTTTAAAGTGCTTTGCATGGGCTATGATCTTCCTAGGCACACACACACACAAACATTCGCACACACACACACACGCAGCATCCTACCACTTCAGCCAAACAGCAGCATCCAACAAGGTATAAATACTGGCTTGACACTTTAATGTCAGGGGACTGCTTGTCCTGGATTAGAAACTTGTAACCCACCACAGAGCTTGACATTGCTGGGATGAAGGTGCTGCAGTGGACAGAGTGAGGACTGGGGGGAGCTATTACGGAGGGTCTATGTTTGATGTATAAGGGCATCTAACATGGACTGTCAACTAGTGAGAGGCTAGCAGATGTACAATGTTGTTTTGTGGCCAGCTTTCATTGGCAATACTGGAGTGAGTGTAAGGAAAATTGAGTCTGTCGCACTGGTGTGTTTCAGAGACACACGCACACGCACACACACACACACACACACACACACTTGTTCAAAGGGAAAAGAGGATTACATACTGAAAAATTAAGCGCTTTTCTCCTCTCCTTGATCCTGTTGACCGTGCTCCGAACCTGAAAGAGAAAGAGAGAGAATGGGAGAGAAAGAGATAAGTGTATCTGACACAGCACTCAATGAAACACACTTACAATGAATCAAAACAAAAAATCTTTCCCAACAAACTACAGCGAGCACCCAAAGTGTAAAATGGTGAAAGGAGAATTGAATGTGGAAGGGAAATAACAAATCTTGAGCATTAGTTTCAGGGCACTGACAGCAGTTGGGGAAGTATGTGTGCATGTGTGTGTGTTTGCGCATGTACGTGTGAGAGGGTGTTCCAGTATGTCCCAGTGGCTAATGGGACTTGAAAGTGACACATAGAGCTGGCAAACTAAGGAGACGACTTCAAGCTATCATCTGTCAGCATAGAGCGCCGGGACCAACAAATGGAGCTATTGGAGGAGAAGGGACCGCCCTAGCAGAACAGATTACATTTTTACACTCCGGATGAAACAATGTACTGCCGTCATTTAACACATACAATACCAGACAAGGATTTCACAGATTTTTAGATATGTACAGCATACATACATACAATTTCAGTATATAGTAATTTTACTAACCCCCAACCTAATCTGCAATTTACCTGCTTATTTAGTAAATTATATAAAAGCACACATTAAAAGCTTTAACAATTTAAATAATTCATAATTCTGTAGTACTGTGAAAGTGAATGCCATTTGGATGACCTTTGATTATATTTAACTGGTGAATTTTATGTATCAACTTTTTTCTTTTAAATTGATAAAAGTGTATTTTGTATTTAAATCCAAACAAGTATTTATGGATGATTAATATTGTCAACAAATGTTTCATGTAAATATTGTGTAATTAACAACACATGATACAAGACAATAATCCAGCAATTTAGTCTGTCCTTAGTCCAATTAATGAAACTGCACTAATTAACTTTGTATAAAATAATAAATGTTTAATTTAATTTTAAATAATCACCTAAAATAATTATGTGCTTGCAACTTTAAGGCAGAACAGTTTTACTGTAAGTGTTACTAGACATACCTTTGGTAGAAAATAATATTCAAAACTTTAATATATAAGGTTATGATACATAATTTAATAATAACTTGTTTCTCATGTTAGTGATGTTTTTAATTACATTATTTTAAATTTTTTTCAATCATTATTAACTCAATACTGGACATTATCAAATTATTGTGTATTATATGTATTTGTAATTTGTAACTGTAAACAAGAATGGGTTAATTATTTTGTTTAATAAAAAAAACCTCCAAATAAAAAAAACATACTAAACAGCAGGGATTACTCAGTCTGTTAGTAGTTCAGTTAAATAGGCTGAAGTCTTCTATTGAACGACTCTGACACTCATGAGGTCTGTATGTATGTATGTATGTATGTGTGTGTGTGTGTGTGTGTGTGTGTGTGTGTGTGTGTGTGTGTGTGTGTGTGTGTGTGTGCGCGCAGACGCACGTGCACACTGTCAGCACTCACTGTAAATTTGTAGCGGCTGGGCACTCATCACTACAGCCCATCCCAGCCCAGCCCACCACGTTAGTGAATATGCATTATGGCTTATGGCTTCATTAAGTCGCAGCGTGTTATAAATTATGACACCACACTGAACACACACACACACAGTCTCATACATACCAACGTTGAAGGGCCACATAATGAAGAGAGCCCGAGCCTTGTGACAGGGCAGAATCAACAGCATCATGTTTCCAAAACCCTCCTATTATTTCTGACAAGATCTGCAGAAGGCCTTCGACGCAATGCAGATGTTGGAGAGACACTGTCTTAACAAAATTTAATGGGGAAAGTAAGTCCTAGGGATTTCATTGAAATCAAACGCAGCCGGCGAGCTGAGGCAATTACATGACACAACTTAATTAATCATTTGACAATGAGGGGAAGGGCATTGTTTTAGATGATCGTTATGCGTTTAAGGGGTTTTGCGCACACTCAAGGTTTCGCAAATGATGCAAAGCATGGTTCCCCATGTAAATGGGCGCTAAGCGATTACCATATGAAAGCAGTGCGCCCGACAACACCTGCCGACATCCTTGGAGCTGATAGAAATAAAAGGTCATCAAAGCGTGGGATTACAAGGTGACCACCAAGGAAAAGCTAATTGCAATGAATAATGGAAAGCTATTGTCAGGTAATTAGCAATTAAAACGCTGCAATTTGAGTGTAATAGCAGCAGACAAAGTCTGTCTTCCATGCCATATTTGTAATTATTGAGCCTGGAAACCAGCCTCATGAATGGAGCATTTTCAGACTTTGAGGCACCAGTTAATGCAACACTTTTCTTTAGCATATCAAAGTAAAATGTCTTCTCAATAAGATGGTTAAAGACTAATTTGTTCTACCAGGTTAACAACTAACAGCAACTTTGCAAAGTTTTTCTTCACTCTATAGACTGATAATGTGATAATGTAATTAAAAAGGGGGTGACCATACCCAGCCATCAGGGCTGCCTAGCTTGGATGAGTACAGACAGAGCAGGAACCTTCCTGTCTCACATTGGCCTCTCTCTAACACTCTGATTACAGACACACACAAGAAACTGGGGAAAATGTATCATTCCCATACAGCGTTTTTGTGATTTCTCTACAAATATTTCTTTTCAGATGTCAGGGAAGGTGAAACCTGAAGCCAATGGCACTCTGAGTCAATCGTTAGACAAGTTAAAGATACAAAACAAAACACAAGCAGGGTATGGGAGAACAAAAAGAGCCCGCTGGAAAGGTGGTGATGGTTCACAAGTAGAAAAAGAAATGTGGGGATTAATAATGCCAAGATTCCTGATTTTTTTTCAAACGTTAACAAACAAGTGTGGTCCTTTTGAAAACTGTGTTTTGTACATGAGCAGCTCACAAATTGTGAAGACCCCAGGGTCAAGGACAACTTGAGTGTAAGAAAATGAATTCCCAAGCACTAAAAAAGCCACTTAAGCAAGAATGTAGTGTTGATTTATTTTACAGTGTGAAGGGTCAGACCTCCCTGGCTCTGCATTGTCAGTGCATTACCTGTGACTCCGACAGCTCTTCATGCTCTGTAGAAGACATGGATGAAGAAAGGGAAGAGACAAGGGGAAATAAAAATGGACAGGAAATGCGAGTGTTACATGAGAGATGTCCTCTTGGATAGTCAGACGGACAGAGATGATGATGACGGAAGGTTAAAATAAAGTCTGGAGAAAAAACACGTAACAAATAGACAATAGAAAGCTCTTCTGCTCGTATATAGTGACAATGACCTTCAGTCAAAGCAACAAGAGGCAATTGAATAGATCAGGTATGTTCTTATTAACCAGAACTGAAGAATATTTTCCTTTTTACATTATTGCATACATCTCCGGAGAACTAAACGTACATGTTTTACTCAAAGACTACTTTGAAAACAGAATTTTTATGATGTTATTAGATGGTCTGTCCAACATGTCAGATTATTGTTAAATCAGGGGCAAAATCTATTTACTTTTTAACTTTGCTTCAAGCAAATCCTTTTCACTTTCTCTTTAGTTTCGAATGTACAGTGTCTAAAAAATGAGTAATACATTTCAGAAAAGGTGCTGTAATTTAAGAACGCTCAGTCGCAATATCACATATTCATATCTAAAGTTTAACCCTATTTACATATACTAAAAACCACATTTGACCAAGAGTGATTTTCATGAGTTGTGTCTCATCCATTACATCGTATCTCTCGGTCTCTTACCCCTCACCCACCCTCCGCCCCCTCACACCTACCGCGTATCTAAATGGTAATAAAGCAGCATCTCAATACAATATCCTCATTCCTTCATCGCATATTGTTGGTTGCATATTGTGGGTTTTTTTTTTTTTTTTTTTGTTCCTACTATGGTTACCGCTTGGGGCCCCGCAAAGCCCTGGCCAGCGGCTTTGTCAGGATGCTAAATGGAGGGCCGTGAGTTTAAAAACTTAAAGAGGCAGTGAAATATTAGCCAATGTGGGTGAGGAATGAGTGGCTGAGAACCGCGGCGTGTCAGTGTTTAATGGTCGGACTCGGATGCATATAAGTTAGTCCAAGCATGAAGGGCAGTGGGACGCTCGCGTGGAAACGATGTCACCTCCCCTCCTTCCCATCCCTCCTCCCACCCAGACACACGTTCGCACACATACACACCCGTTCTCTCACACCCCACCCACACAGCTTTTAAGCAGGGAGCCCATCAGAAACTTGTCATTTCTCTCATTCACTCCGACAGCCTTGAGACACAATGCAGACCTACCTCTGTGTTGTACACCCCATATATCAGGAAGATGAACAGACCCTGCAAACACAGACAAAGAAAGAGAGAGAGAGAGAGAGAGAGAGAGAGACAGAGAGACAGAGACAGAGAAAGGGGAGAGAGAGAAAGAGGAGGACAAAGTTGTTACAGTTGTTTTCTCCCTTATCCTCTCATAAAAAACAAAAGATCAAAAGTAATGAGTGGAGCAACACGTACAGGTTAGGTTGATTCATACTCTATCCCGGCTAAGGAGAGCTGAAGTAGAATGTAGTGAAAAGTAATGAGAAGAAGCAGGACTTGAAAGAGTACAACTTCTCCAAACTGGGCCACCTCCGTAAGGCTCAGCTTGCGTTTGTTTTGTCTACAATACTCATGCTCCTTGTTCCAGCCCCCACTAAGTCATCAAAGGCTCAAACCCAAGGTTCCACACAGCTTTATCCAAATAGAAAATCTCAAGTGCCTATGTTCAGTCTGTGTTCTTCAAGACAGAAACACACATGTATATATATGATTGAGTACCAACAAACACCCACACACAGAGTTAAAGCTCAAACGCATAAACATAGTGACACAAGTCCATCCATTTAGAAACATATGCTAACAGACTAATACAGACACAAATGATGAGGATACTAGACAATTTGAACACACACATTTTAAAAGACACACATTTACACACACAGACGCACATAAAGAGAGCAACTCAGGCCAGACGAGGCTATCAAGGAAAACCATTGGAGGAAAGAAGAGAAAGAGAGAGACAGAGGGAGCATAATGAAAAAAATGACACATAAAAGAAGATATTTCATGTTCACAAAACTCCACGGCTAGTACCCAGGGCCCAAGAATGCCATGCCCTTGGATGCATAAAGGCTGCACTTTTGGTCACAGAAAAACAGATATTTTTCATTCCAATCCATTGTGGCATCCATTGAATGTACAAGCTGTGCATTCGCCTTCAGGCCATAATGTAATAATGTTGCCTCAAAGGAAACAGTGAGAACAACATTCTCAGCTCACCGATTGAACTGTGCCACAAAAACATGTACCGAAAAAAATGAAAAGGCAGGTAAAATCCTATAAATTTCAAGGCTGATAGATACAGTACGTTCTTTGATAAGCCAACAGTACATTGATGTGGCTCTAACACAAAAAAACTTTTAAAAGTACATCTCTCTCCTTTTGCCGCCTAGTGCATCTTTGTTGCTTCATCTTTAAACGAAGGTAAGGACACATCCTGAGGACAGGCAGGCACAACCTGGTCAATGCATCAATCAAGTTGAGTTTGGAGCATCCAATTTTTGCCAGAGGGAGATCTCAATGCATCACCATTGACAACATGATTTGGGAGCCTATTCAGAGTGACAGGCCGACGATGGCCGACAATGACGACCTCTAGCCCAAGCTACTGCCCATTCACCTCCTACTGGCTGCTCCCCTGTCCTCCAGGGACTGAATTGCCCTGTCGGGCTGTCAGGTGACACTTTAGGACATCCATCCTCTTTAAACTGACAATTCTGCTGGTCTCTGACATGCTGAAGACAACAGGCATAACAAGGGATCTCAAGCTGAGATCTTAGATGTGCAATTTTATTTCTACAATTCTTACTTTGATAATGGCCACAACCTAATACAGTACTGAAAGTGATTAATTTAAGAAAAACAAAACAAAATAAATGCTGCTACATAGCACAATATAACCATGAGAGGAGTGACAAGGTTGCTTACCAATACCAGAGATAACACGCCCACTCAAGCGAGTCACATAACTATTCAAAGTTTCAAATGCTCAGTAAGAGAGGATGGCACTGCAAAAGAGATCCCATTGAAACAAAATGTTTTGTCTGCATAAGTTTCAAAGCCTTTTCCCAAGCTAGAAATATCAATGACAAAGCTGTGTTTTATAGGCAAGGTGACATCTTTTTACTGTTATCATTGTTGCATCATGCACAGAAACTTTACAGATGTTCTTGTCTCTAATCTCAAACATGCAGACAGTACAAGATTTGAAGAGAATAACACGCTACAGGACATGTGATCTCACGTGAACTGATGAAGAAGCAGAAAAAAAACAAAAGCAGAAGGCTAAAGAAGTCTGGACGGGAAAATGGTTGGGGAGAAGCTGTCAACACGAGTTGTCTATTGAGTAGATTTTAATTGTCATTTTTTAGTATCTGTCAACAGTGGTATGCTAGCTAATATTAGCCTCAAGAGGTAGAATGTTTACCATTGCTTGGCAACACCGTCACCTACTCCGGGACCAACGTTAACCTGTAACGCCTTACGTCTTGTACACTCGTCTCTCTCCTTTTGTAGTTCTGCTCAAAGAGTACTGATGTGATCATCCAGATTTTAACTCCGAAATATAAATTGTTTGAAATTATTGAGGTGGCCCTGATGAGTCTGCTAGCAGTTTGTGAAGTTTAAGACTGGATCTGAAAACCCCTCACATTACTAAATAATTTGGTACATCAGTACCAACCAAGGTCCCAGACCAGATCTGGCTTCCAATTGCAGTCTTTGGAATAAACTCCTAGCTGTCATCAAGGATGTTGGCTCCTCTGTCACTTCTGTATGTGATATAGGCTTACTGTAACAGTTAAGTAAGTAATCCATTTAATAGTTTAAAGTCACATAAACCTACTAAGCACATGTCACCTACAATGTGTATCAAGTGCTGCAAGTGTCATTATTATAACTAGAACTTAGATTAATAAACAGATTTAAACAATGAAATATGATCAAATATGATTTTTTAATTAATTTAATTAAATTATTTAAAAGCACAAGCAAAGTATTGTATATAGAGTTTAACATACTGAAACATACTGTCATATACTCTTTTTACACACACATAAGCACACACACGCAATAACAGACAGTGGGTGGTTAATTTTCCACACATACCCTATTGTATTGCATTAGAATTGCAATTTCTAACTTACTGTTGCAATTTGATTATCATGTTTTTGATCATTCCTCTTATTTGTAATTAATCTTTTGTTGTGTAGCGAACAAAGTGGGGAGAACATACTGTGCACATTAGGAAAAATGATCTATTAAAATATAATTGAGTTAAAAATAAGTGGCAGCACAACAATAATGATAGATTGTTTAAAATGTTAATTCATTAATGTTCCCACTAAAAACAAACAGAGACAAAAATGGGGCGCATTATTTAAAAGCATGTGTGCTTTTCTAAACCCAGTCCTGTTTCTTTTGAACTCAGCGGCAAATGCTACAAATTTATGCAAAGAATGAACACAGTTGCTTTCAAAGTATTGCAATACTGTACATCAAACAGGGGAGCATAAATTAATTAGCATCCAGCTAATTAGGGAACAATTGTATGTTTAAAAAGTTAAAACCAACAAACACTGTGTTTGACCAAAAACATTATCACCCAAGAGAGATGTACTATGCTGCAATTCAAGACAGAAAATAGCATTTGTTTAAATTACCAAGGGTGTTCCTTCTTATCAGATACTGAGAGCTTTGTCTGAGAAAGCAAAAAGAACAAATCAAAGTCAAAGATTGATTTACTTACAAGAACTCTAAGTCAGTTCAATTAAACCAGGATGCTGTGGTTACAACCCTAGTACCGTTATCTACTAGTGGTTTTTGATGTTGACAACCTCCTTTTGGAGGACTCTACATCTGCTGTCCTTGTAACTCACTCTCCCTAAAAGCATCAACTGTAAGTGCATTAAATGTTTAAGGTGATCCATCAACCACTGGTAAAAGCTTTATTTGAGTGTTTAAGTGTGTAAACTAAATAGCTTCAATATATGTGAATGTTTTTCCCCCTCAAATGTCAAAAGCTAGAGATCTCATATCTATCTATTTAGACTGACAGCTCTTGTATTAAGTTGAATGCAATTTGGATTTCCATTTTCAGTTAACTGCATCAGTTCCAAGAGAGCAGAACTGATTAGAGGTCTTTCGCATATTAGACAAGTGAATGAGCACGTAGAAGTTCAGTCTTTAGCTGAAGGATACTTTCCACAGAACACAAGGCTGTTGATGGATTAACGCGTAGCTGCAATGATTGAGCAAGTGACCTTTCAGTTACAGTATTCAGTGGCAGTTAACAATCAGCATATAATGGGCAGCATATTCAATTTTTTTTTTACCCCGGATGTAAAGTTGTACATTATTTTTAAGCAGTATAGAATGCTACTTTACTGTTTCTACTTCAACAAGCATGATTTCAATATCCCTGCTACAATTAAGGTTGTATAGTTTTTCAAGAACCACATCCGAGTACAGCTGCATCCTCTGTGACAGTAAACTGAATATATTTGGGTTGTGGACAAAACAAGAAATCTGAGACGTCACCTTGGGCTTTGGGAAACAGTGATCAACATTTTATGACATTTCATGGACCAAAAAACTAAACTAATGATCTACAGATTAACTGATAATGAATCGAATTGAAAATAATCGTCAGTTGAACCCCTACATCAAAGTACTGCTCAGTGAAGCTGGTAATTTCAGCAAATTTTATTGGTGTATACTTGCTTTAATTAATTAATAATTTACTTACATAAGACCTCCACATATACCTAGTCATGTGTCACCAGAGTTAGAGCACGTACAGTCCTTATATTGACAGTGGGCACACTGTAGCGGCACTATGTAACAATACCCATCTCTTTATCATTTTGTGACAAAACGCAGACATTTATTTTACTGTTCATTTGGGGAGTTCACCTGCCCTGCTTAATAAATGCTCCTCCTGACACTCTATTGCAGTGCCAACTCATACAAATTCACATACAGTGTTAGTAGCTCCACCTTTCTTTCTGTGTTACAAATCATTACAAATTCTCAGTGAACAATGCCTCTGTGTTTACCCCCCCTCCCTTACCTTTCAGCACTCCTATTCCCCCATCTCCATCAACCTCCCAAATGTGTAAAGTTAGGGAGAGCAGCACTGGCAGGTAAAAATCTCAGAAAACAGCAAGTTTATGACATTGTCCTTGGGAAACAAATTTTCAATGTAAAGATATGAAAACTATGATTAAGGAGGGAGTGCGGTG